CACACACGGTGACGGTACATATTGCACCACATGTCACTCTCACTTGTGGAAAGTATTGTCCATGCCACATGCAACATGAAAGAAAGACTATTCTTCCCTTGATGTGGCTCCCAAGTTTGAAACTTTTTTCTTTTCTTTTTTGTTCTTTTTATTTCCAGACACAAATTTTTCAACAAAAGATTTATTCACCTCCTTATACATGCCATCCTCCATCCTCACTCAGATTATCATGCCAACAAAGAGCCTTCCCCTTCCCCTTCCCCTCCGGCCGGCCACCAACACCAGACAAGGGAATACCCACCTCCAAATACTAACCAGCGAGTGGAACGACGGAGTGAGCAAACTTCCCCTTTCCGGACGGACGGACGGAGCAACCAACCAACCGAACCAGCCCAAAGATTTGGTTTTTGAGCCCATCTCTCGCCAACAACAGAGAGAGGGATGGGGATCCCGAGCCCGAGCGACGAGGTGGTCCAAATCGTGCACGGGGACGGCGCGGGGGACCCCACCGTGGTCACCGTGAGCTGCCCCGACAAGACGGGCCTGGGCTGCGACCTCTGCCGCCTCGTCCTCCTCTTCGGCCTCAACGTCCACAAGGGCGACATGAGCACCGACGGCCGCTGGTGCTACATCGTGCTCTGGGTCGCCGCGCGCCGAGGCCGGGCCGTCGCCTGGGACGTCCTCAAGGACCGCCTCATCGACCTCTGCCCCGTCCCGGCGCCCTTCGGCGTCGACAGCGCCTACCTCGCCGCCGCCGGCCTCCAGGACCCCGACGCCGAGCCCCAGGTGTTCCTGCTCAAGTTCTGCTGCTACGACCGGATGGGCCTCCTCCACGGTAATACTAGATTTCTTCAGTTCACCACCTCTCTCTCATATCGTGCCTGCTTCAGATTATTAGATGCTGTGCTGTGTGTGCTTGTCAACAAAGTGCGTGCTTCTTTCTAGGTACTGCTTGATCCATGCTGTCTATGTCAGATGCCGTTTTACAAGAATTACTTGCTACTCCCTCCCTAAAGAAATATAAGAGTGTTTATATCACTAAAATAGTGATCTAAACACTCTTATATTCGTTTACAGAGGGAGTATTTTGTTTGGCACTTGCTAGTCTATGATGTTACTGATCGACTGACTGACCGAAGAAAACACCCTGACTCGCCGAGCCCTCCGGATTACATTGACTATTGACTGACTTTCTTCTATGGTTTCTTGTGAGACTATCATTCATTCGTCTCCTGGTAGACCGCTCACATACGCAAGCAACCGGAGGAATTCGTGTGTTTATCTACTGTGATGTAATCGATGTATATTGTTTGGCACCCCAATTCTTGTGACCCTGGTATTTCCTAGTATATGATAATTGTAAGAATTTAGGATGTCTAGTCCTCACTTGGAGGTGTTAGTGGGCATGTTTGAGAAATGTTTTTCCCAGTGAAAGAGCATGACAGGATTCATAATGTGTGCAAAGGAAGTGTCTAATCCTGACCTGCTTGGTGGGATTTGTCTGATTTGCAGACGTGACGTGCGTGCTCTCCGAGATGGAACTCACAATTAGGAGGGTCAAGGTCTCCACCACGCCAGATGGGAGAGTGATGGACCTTTTCTTCATCACTGATGCTAGGTCCATTTCTTATCTCCTCGTACATTCTTTTCGGTGCCTCCCATAGGTTATTTTGTTTGTCAATCCCATAACAAAGTATTGTTGACTTTTTGCAACCTGCTGGTTGAACAGTGTTCATTTCTCAAGGGATATGGTATTGTCTTAGGATATGCATAATTAGAGAACCTTCTTGCGAATTTATCATGAGAGCATATGATCCTCTATAACTCGTTAATTGCTTCTCTTAGCAGTATGAAGTTGTTCAGTCATGTTTTCTTTCATAGTTTACTAGGTAATCTTCAGCTCTCTAGTTTATGTTTACTAAGGTACTCCCTCTGTAAACTAATATAAGAGCGTTTAGATCACTATTTTAGTATTCTAAACGCTCTTATATTAGTTTACGGAGGGAGTACATCATTTGAAATAGAAAATCTGCATGGCTTATGTTTAGTAATTGATGTCCATCATTTCAAATATAAGTATGTCTACCTTTGTGACGGTAAATGAACGGATACCTCGTGCAATGATTTCAGGGAACTTCTACACACAAAGAGCAGGAGGGAAGAGGCCTATGAAAAGCTCCAGAGTGTCTTAGGCGACTCCGTGACGAGTTGCGAAATAGAATCCGCGACGGAGGACATGTCTTGTTGCCTCCAAGCTTCAGCATTGTTGTCGCCTGTTGTCCTGGAGCAGATGTTCAGCGAGGTAGATGCCATAGAGGAGCAATCGAGGTCCAGCGGTAGCCTGTCGGTCACTATGGACAACTCCCTCAGCCCCGTGCACACCCTGATTCAGATACAGTGCGGCGACCACAAGGGCCTCCTGTACGACATCATGAGAACAGTCAAGGACTGCAACATCCAGGTAATTCAGTATTTATTTCTTTCTTTGGGTGGGATATGTATTGAGTAGGGAGTTGTGTTTGCTGTCAGATTTCGTATGGCCGGTTCTACGCGGGCCAGAAGGGCCGGTGCGAGGTGGATCTGTTCGCGGTGCAGTCGGATGGGAACAAGATACTTGACCAGCAGAAACAGAGAAGCATGTGCTCCCGCCTGAGGATGGAGCTGCTGCGGCCGCTCCGCGTGGCGTTGGTGAACCGGGGCCCCGACTCGGAGCTGCTGGTGGCGAACCCGGTGGAGGTGTCCGGGAAGGGCAGACCGCTGGTGTTGTATGACATCACGCTCGCGCTTAAGAACCTCCATAGACGAGTCTTCTTGGTAATGAAATCATGTTCATTCCTGTCTGACAAGCACACACCTCGCTCTGATCGCTTGTTCATTCTTGGTTTGTAGGCTGAGATCGGAAGGCATGTGGTGGACGATCGGGAATGGGAAGTGTACAGGGTGCACCTGGGGGAGGACGAACACGAGCTCTCGTGCTCGGTGCGGAGCAAGATCGTCGACAGCGTCACCAACATGCTCATGGGCTGGGACTGACTAACTTGTCTCCAGCATGCATCTTCCTTAACATTCAGTCTTGTTGCAAAAGACATTTGTTTGTTTTGTGTACAGTAGGTGCCATCGACTAGGTGTACATAGGGAGGGATGTTGATGGCTGCTGTTGTAAATTATTAAGTGGTTTCCACTGCCTAGTTAGTTCATACTGCATCAGTCTGAAATACTTGCCTTGCATTGTTGTTAGGCAATGAAATGATGGTGCATAGACCTGTGTTGTTGGGTCTCAAGTATTTACTGTGGTGTATCTTTGCCCAGCTCAGCTGGTGGACGAGTATTAGCTAGCTAGTCATCAGCACGAGTAGGGCAAATTAATGAAGTGATTCTAACAATAGTACTAATAGTTGGCAATGCTTGCTGATTTTATTATTTTTAGATAAGTATGAATCCAACTTATTGCTTCTGAGGAAACTTCTTTCCTGCAGACATTCCACCATTAAATGTTTATTCTTACATATTATGATAAGCACAATTTCCATGTAAATTTTATGCAAATGTTGTCATTATTTGTTTCACTTTTTTCTTCTTAAATGGAAAAGCCATTGTTATTAATTTATTCCTTCTTAAGAAACTCCTTTTTGTGAAATTTCTCTACTATAAGTTTATTTTTGTTATACAAAGCGTACTTTATGAAAATTATGTGCAAATGTTGTCATTTTTTTTAGTTTATTTCTTCCCAAAGGGTAATATTAATGCCACTAATTCATCCATTCTTACAAAATTTCATTATTTTTTGTTTTTGTTTTTGTTTTCCTTTTATTTTCTTTCTTATTTAAGGGTGATATTAATGCCACTCTAACTCATTCCTTATTATCAAACTTCTTTTTGAGAAATTCCACCGTTATATACTTGTTCTTGCATATGATTAAAAAAATTGCGTGCATTTTTTCACTATTTGATTTAATTAATTTTATTTTATTTCTTCTTAAAGGGTAATACCAGTGCCACTAATTCATTTTTCCTTAAAAACAATATTACTTTGATTTTGTTAAGTTTTTATTTCATTTTATTTCTTTCTTTAAGGTCAAATATCAATTCAACTAACTGATTCCTTCTTAGGGAACTTTTTTTTGCGAAAATTCCACTATTATATGTCTAATCTTGCATATTATGAAAATGCGTAATTTCTATGTAAATTATGTGCGAATTTGTCACTTTTATTTCTTTCTTTAAGATCAAATATCAATTCCACTAACTGATTCTTTCTTACTGTACTTTTTGGCGAAAATTCCACTATTATATGTTTAATCTTGCATATTACGAAAATGCATAATTTCTATGTAAGTTATATGCAAATTTGTCATTTTTCTTTCTTTCTTTAAGATCAAATATCAATTCCACTAACTGATTCTTTCTTACTGTACTTTTTTGCGAAAATTCCACTATTATATGTTTATTCTTGCATATTATGAAAATGCGCAATTTGTATGTAAATTATGTGCAAATGAATATGAAAATGCATAATTTCTATGTAAATTATGTGCAAATTTGTCATTTTTCATTCTTTGTTTAAGATTAAATATCAATTCCACTAACTGATTCCTTCTTAGTGTACTTTTTTGCGAAAATTTCACTATTATATGTTTATTCTTGCATATTATGAAAATGCGTAATTTCTATGTAAATTATGTGCAAATCTGTCATTTTTCTTTCTTTGTTTAAGATCAAATATCAATTCCACTAACTGATTCTTTCTTAGTGTACTTTTTTGCGAAAATTCCACTATTATATGTTTGTTCTTGCATATTATAAAAAACATAATTTTTATGTAAACTATGTGCAATTTTTTTTCTTTCCAAAGGGTAATAATAGTGCCACTAATTCATTCGTTCTTAGAAAATTTCATTATTCTGTTTTCTTGTTTTAGTTTTTATTTAATTTTCTTTCTTCTTTGATGGTAATATCAATGCCACTCTTATTCATTCCTTATTATGAAACTTACTTTTAAGAAATTCTATTATTACATGCTTGTTCTTACATGTGAAAAAAACACATTTTTGTGTAATTATTTCATTATTTTCCATGCCACCAACTGATATTTTTGACATTTAAGGTTAAATATCAATGCCACTAACTGATTTGTTCTTAGGGAACTGTTTTTTTGTGTGCGGAAATGAAGGAAATATGCCCTAGAGGCAATAACAAAGTTATTGTTTATTTCCTTATATCATGATAAAAGTTTATTATTCATGCTAGAATTGTATTAACCGGAAACATAATACATGTGTGAATACATAGACAAACAGAGTGTCACTAGTATGCCTCTACTTGACTAGCTCGTTAATCAAAGATGGTTATGTTTCCTAACCATGGACAAAGAGTTGTCATTTGATTAACGGGATCACATCATTAGTTGAATGATCTGATTGACATGACTCATTCCATTAGCTTAGCACCTGATCGTTTAGTATGTTGCTATTGCTTTCTTCATGACTTATACATGTTCCTATGACTATGAGATTATGCAACTCCCATTTGCCGGAGGAACACTTTGTGTGCTACCAAACGTCACAACGTAATTGGGTGATTATAAAGGTGCTCTACAGGTGTCTCCAAAGATACATGTTGGGTTGGCGTATTTCGAGATTAGGATTTGTCACTCCGATTGTCGGAGAGGTATCTCTGGGCCCTCTCGGTAATGCACATCACTGAAGCCTTGCAAGCATTGCAACTAATGAGTTAGTTGCGGGATGATATATTACGGAACGAGTAAAGAGACTTGCCGGTAACGAGATTGAACTAGGTATGGGATACCGACGATCGAATCTCGGGCAAGTAACATACCGATGACAAAGGGAACAACATATGTTGTTATGCGGTCTGACCGATAAAAGATCTTCGTAGAATATGTAGGAGCCAATATGAGCATCCAGGTTCCGCTATTGGTTATTGACCGGAGACGTGTCTCGGTCATGTCTACATTGTTCTCGAACCCGTAGGGTCCGCACGCTTAAGGTTACGATGACAGTTATATTATGAGTTTATGCATTTTGATGTACCGAAGGTTGTTCGGAGTCCCGGATGTGATCACGGACATGACGAGGAGTCTCGAAACGGTCGAGACATAAAGATTGATATATTGGAAGCCTATGTTTGGATATCGGAAGTGTTCCGGGTGAAATCGGGATTTTACCGGAGTACCGGGAGGTTACCGGAACCCCCCGGGAGGTATATGGGTCTTAGTGGGCCTTAGTGGAAGAGAGGAGAGGTGGCCATAGATGGGCCGCGCGCCCCTCCCCCCCTTGGTCCGAATAGGACAAGGAGAGGGGGCCGACCCCCCTTCCTCCTCTCTCTCCTCTTTTCCCCCCTCCGCGAATCCTATTCCAAC